TGCCCCCTCACACCCACCCCCTTTTTACTGTTGATTTTGTACTCGCCCTGCCACTGAGTGCCTTGAGTAAATGTGAAGGAACCGACAGAATCAGCCGGAATAAAAGCTGGTGAAAGAAACTTGTCCTTGTCATGTGTGTGCCCCCAGCCCCTCGGCTGGGCCGTTCCTGTGGGAGCTGCCCCGGGACCAGAGCACCGGGACGGGGTTGCCTGGGGCCAGAGGGGCCAGCAGGGTCCCCAGCCCTGACCAGCATTGGGGTCTTTAACCCAGGGCTCCACATCCCCGCTGTTCTGTACTTGGGGTCTGTAACCCAGGGCTCCACATCCCCGCTGTTCTCATCCCAAGTGCTCACAACCTGGGGTCGATGTCCCTGACATGCACATCCTGGATATCCCGCACCTGAGTCTCCTACATCTCTGCTCTCCACATCCACCTCCAGCACTCTGGGGGCTTTACATCCCACGTCTCCAACATCTCTGGTGTTCACATGCCAGGTCTCCAACATCCCTGTCTCAGCATCCCAGTTTTCCACAATCTGGGTTTCCTGCATCCCACGTGTCTCCAGTCCCAGATCTCCTCATCCCTGCTCTCCCACACTCAGGGTCTCCACATGCCCTATTAGAGAATATTTGGAGTTTCCACACCCAAATATTGTTTTGCTGCACCCCAAAAAACAAGTGCACAAACACTCCCTTTGGATCAGAGGGCAAAGGAGTTTCATGGGCAAGAACCCACCCAGCAGTGCAGCCCCCTGAGTCCCAGCCCTGCCCCAGGGCTCCCCCTTCTCTCCACCCCACTGTCTGAGGGGTTGGGGGTTCAGCTCAGGGGCTGCAGCCTCCCGGGGGGCTGGAGAGGGTTTGGGTTGTGCCCTGGTGCCGTTTGGCCCCGGCCGGCCCCGTGTCCCCTGTGCCCTCCCTGCCCCGGGGCTCTGGGCAGGACTGGCCCTACATGGCCGAGGTCAGGCCCACGATGTCCCCCGATGTTCCCTGCTCAGTCAAATCCCACTAATCCCCCCTGAGTCATCCCTGGCCGACGCTGACCTGGGAGGAATCCTGCCGTTGTGAGGCCCTCTCCGAGCCTGGGGGGCTCCCTGTGCCCCCGAGCCCCTGCCCCGAGCCCCCCTGCCCAGCAGTTTGGGGTGTGCTGAGTTTGGCAGATCTCAGGCAGATCCTGGGGATCAATGGGATCAATTCCTGATCCTGGTGATCAATTCCTGCTGTTGGGGTCACTCCTGTGCTTGGAGAGGGGGGTTCCCATTTGTGTGTGAGGCTTTTCCAGCCCCAGCCTCACTCCAGGGGAAGAAGACCCCGAGCAGCATCCCCAGCCCCCTCCCCTCTCCCGTGGCCTCACCACGGTGACTTTTGATCCCCANAGCAGCCAGCACATCAGGGAAAAATTCCAGTCTTCCTCTTTTACAGTCTCTGTCTCCTGCCGGGAGGGAGCCAACTGGAACAAATACTCTGTAGAAATACTTCAGTATTTTCCTGTCGCGCGTGCGCTCTCTCTCTGGGTTGTGAGTACAGCTGTAGATGCCGTGAGCTGGTGCAATTATAATAAATATACAGTATATATTGTAAATTACCCTGCTGGGCACTGAGAGGTTTCTTCCTGCCAGGAGCACGGCAGGGTTATCCTGCTCCTTCCCTGCGGCTCCCTGCGGATCCATCCTGCTCCTCCCTCTCCCTCCATGTGGAGCAGCACCGGGAGTTTTGTGTCTGATCCCTGCGAGGATCCTGCTGTGTCTGTGGGGGACCCTCTGCATCCTCCTGGCTCCTTGCCGTGCTCCCGGCTCCCTGCATCCCTCCCTGATCACTCCCGTTTTTCTGCCAACTGCCATCCGTCCTGCCTGCATCCTTCCCTGCATCCCTGCCTGCTTCCCTTCATCCCTCCCTGCATCCCTGCCTGCATCTTCCCCTGCATCTCTGCCTGCATCTCTGCATCCCTCCCCTCTCTCTCACATCCCTGCATTCCTCCCCTCTCTCCCCACATCCCTGCATCCCTCCCATTTGCCTGCAACTCTCCCATCCCTTCCATCCCTCTCCTGATCCCTCCCACCCTTCCCTGCTCCTCCCTGTGTTTCTGTATCCCTCCCATCCCTCCCATTTCCCTGCAGCCCTCCCTGCATTCCCACCTGCCACCCTTCCATTCCTCCCCGCATCCCTCCCCTGATCCCTCCCCTCCCTCCCAGCGTCCCTCCCTGCATCTTCCTCTGCATCCTTCCCTGCCTCCCCTCCATTTCCCTGCATCCCTGCCTGCATCTCTCCCCTCCCTTCCACATCCCTCTCATTTCCCTGCATCCCTCCCACTCCCTCCCCTCTGCAGTGCCTCATCTTCCCCTGGTTAACCCCGCCAAGCCTACCACAGCCCCCAGCCCCACATCACTCAGCNCCCCCCCCACTCGTGGGAAAAAAATAAAGACTGCAGTAGTTAGCATCAGCGTGCGGCTGCCAGTCCATCGGGGGGGTCTAGTTGTTGCCTTCTCCGCCGTCGTCGTCTTGCTGATCGCTCGTCCAGAGCGTTAGGTTGTCGCGGAGGAGCTGCATGATGAGCGTTGAGTCCTTGTAGGAGTCCTCGTTGAGGGTGTCCAGCTCGGCGATGGCGTCGTCGAAGGCCGTCTTGGCCAGGTGGCAGGCCTGCTCCGGCGCGTTCTGGATCTCGTAGTAGAAAACCGAGTAGTTAAGGGCCAGCCCGAGCCGGATGGGGTGGGTGGGCTGCATGTGCTCCTTGCTGATCTCATGGGCTTCGCTATAGGCCTTCTCCGAAGACTCCACCACGGTCGCCCTCTTCTCGCCGGTGGCCACCTCGGCCAGGTAGCGGTAATAGTCCCCTTTCATCTTCAGGTAGAAGACTTTGCTCTCGTACTGCGTCTCGCTGCAATTCTTGATCAGGTAGTTGTCCAGCAGGCTCAGCACATCCTGGCACACGGCTTCCAGCTCCTTCTCGATCTTCTCGCGGTAGGCGCGGACCATCTCGATCTTCTTCTCGTTGCCATCTGCAGAGGTCTTCTGCTCGATGCTGCTGATGACTCGCCAGGACGAGCGCCGCGCCCCCACCACGTTCTTGTAGGCCACGGACAGCAGGTTCCTCTCTTCGTTGGACAGGGGCTCGTTCAGCTCCGTCACCTGTGTGGAGAGAGGGGGAGAGAAAAGAGACGTTCCGGTTAAGCCCCGGCCTTCTGACACTCCCATCACTCCTTTGGGTGCTCCTGTGCGTGTCTAGACAGAGGCAGCAGGAGGCAGTCAGCTCCAAAGTCCTGCTCTGCCATCCAGCTCTGCCTCTGCTCCCATCCCAGCAGGAGCCAGATGGGAAATCGTGCTGTGCTCCAGACCCACAACAAAAGGAGCAGGCCTTGGGTTTTATTTGAGAAATCAGCATCTTCCAGACAGTCTTCTAGGAAAGAGATGCCTTTCACCTGCAGGATGAGAGTTGGCAATGCAGGGGAGAGGGACAGTCAAAGCAAGAGGGAGGAGAAGGCCCAGGGTTATGAGCTACCTGCATGGTTAACACCACCAGAGCTACAGGGTGTTCATCCTTTCCACTTCCCACAGTCTTCAGACACACCCAAAAAATCTCTGAGATGGCACAATTACAACTCCCTCAGGCACCTTAAAAGCTCACAGGGTGAGGGGAAACCCCCCACACTGGGTTTTCCTCACCCAGGTTAACAGTGTTACCTGCCTCATGCACCACAAAAACCACAAAGGGATTATGGAGATGATGAGCACAGAGCTCCCTCAGTAACTTGGGAAGCACCACTTGGTATCACAATAATCCCATTCCAGCTCCCACAACACCATCACTGCCTGGAGCCTCCCAGGCAGCAGCTTTGGCCAAGCTTCCTGCAGGAAGGAGCAGGAGGAGCCCTTGCAGCAGCCAGGACACCACACAGCAGCTGCACAGGGCTGCTCCCCTGGGCTGGTTACAGCTGCCAAGTGCCACTTTGAGCCTGGGCATGGCCACTGTCCCCTTTCCCCCAGGACACACCCTGGGCACAGCCAGCTGGGAATCAGGCCACCAAAGCAGGAACCTGTGAGCCACCTCAGGGCAGTAAAGGATTAGGTAATGGTTTGGATGTGAAAGGCTTCTGCAAACACTGAGTCACTTTCACAAGGATGTGTAAGGACAAGGTTTGCTCTGGGCCCAGATAACCACATTTATGGTGGGGAGCAGGAGGCCAAAGGCTCAGCCAGGACCTCATTTGAATGGCCTTGAATGACTCACGGTTGCTCACACCATATTGACCTGCACATTCCAGAACATCCACTCCTCCTGCAGCTCTTCAGCCATGCTCTGGCTGATGTCTCCTCCCAAAACCAGGCCACAGCTAAGCCTGCTCCCCCCACAGCAAGCAGAGTCTCTGAGCAGATCCCTCCAGCCCTTTCCCTCAAGGCAGAGGCAGCAAGCAGACCCTGCACTGCCACCCCTGCTGCTGTGTGCATCTGTGCTGCTCCACAGGATGAGCCTGGCAGAGGAACAGCAGACCATTTCTACTTGGAAGAGGGTCTGAGGAACAGCAGACCATTTCTACATGGAAGAGGGTCTGAGGAACAGCAGACCATTTCTATATGGAAGAGGGTCTTCCTGTGCAAACCAGCACAGCTGCTTCTGCTGCAGGGTGAGAGACAGCAAGGGAGCAGGGAATGGGTGTCACATGAATGAGGGCAGGATCTCCTGGGACTATCAGCAGCTGCCAGTGGCACAGGACAAAGAGCACAGAGCAGGATGCCAGGGCAGTTGGCAGTGCTCCCGCCCAAGGTAAGCAGGGCAGCGATGCCACCCCCAGCTCCAGTGCCAGGCCAACCCTCACACCCCTGTCCTGGCCAAGGCAACGGTGACAGTTTAACCACAGGGCCCTGGGGTCCCTGTGATATCCTGCTTCCTGCAGCAGGGCCAGGCAGGGCCCAACCACAATGAGCCCAAATACCCGTGGTGAGACACTTGTACACTGCCTCCAGCCTGCCTGCTGTGCTGAGGTCTCTGCTCTGCAGTTTTACAGAATGTCTCCCTTTGTTCTTCCCTCGCAGTGGCACCTGCACAAACCACAGTAATGACTTTGTGGGTTAAAGACATCTTTGGGAGCACAACCAAGGTGTTCCCCTGCCCCAGAGCTTCTGGGTTGTCTGTCCTCAGAGATACCAAAGACTCCATCAGGTTACCTGGGGGCTTATTCCACCTAAGCTGCCCTGCTTTGAGTGAGGGATTTGGAAATAGAAGCATCCAGAAATCCCAGCCTGATTTATTCTCTTCCAGCTGTAAATGGAGTGTCCAACACCCACAGCCATACAAGAGACTCACTGATTCCAAGAGTTTTCTGTCCTGACAGGGGTTGTGGAGATTGATCACCAGATGAAATTTTGCTTTTAGCAAGGTGCTCCTTGAGAAGAGACACCAGTTTTGAAGTGAGGAACAAGCAGGCGCCCCACAGCTAGATCTGCAGATATTTATCACTGCAGGGAGAAGTAGATTTACCTCCTCTCACCAGAATAGTCTTGCTGGAGGACAGATTTATCAAAACTACAGGGAGTTTCGTGGGATTAGCTTTGCCATAAACATTTTAAATTCAAAGCTATTAAGGATTACGGAGGAAAGTTGCCTGTCAAAATCCTTTCAACAAACTGGCTGACAGATGGAAGGTACACCTGTGGAGACAGCAGATTCCCCTAGGGAGCTCACAGGGAACTTGTAAAAGCAGGAAGGAGCCTTGTTAACCATGTCACTGCTTCCTAGCAGGACCCAGACTCCCAGGAAGGAGCACTGCAGAGACATGGCCAAGATGTGACAAGGGTGGGGACAAGGACCACGGCCCTCAGCAGCAGGAGAGGGGAGAGGCTGCAGTCCCACACATTTCAGTTTGCAATTGAGCTGAGGGAGGAAGAACAGAAAACCATCTGGCTCTTGCATTCCCAGCAGGAAGAAAATGCAAGATGCCCAGGACACAAGGTATCAGACAGCAGGGTACACTGAACTGCCTTGTCAGAGTGAGAAAAAGGCAGAAAATATGTATCCCAGGCTCAGCTGCCTTTGAGGACATCTCTGTCTGCCCAGAGGTGCCTGGTGCCCTCCTGCCTGTGCCGGCATTTCCAGGCACAGCCCCCTGCACACCCAGACTGTGCAGTCACTGTCACTCTGCTCTTCCACAGCACTGCACCAGTGCCCATCTCCAGCAGAAACCACTCCAACACCTCTGCACCAGCCTGTCACATCCACGTGGGGCTGTGCCTTCTCTGCAGCCTGTGCTGGCCAAACAAATGCTGTTTGTTTTCTTCTTACACTGCAGGATACAGAAACAAAGTGAGTTCAACCCAGCCACTGGTAAACAGCAGGTTCTCATACACTGAGTTTGTAGCATTGCACTGAATGCTTCTGGTTTAACATCAAATAAGGCAATATCCTGCATCAGGCCTGGATCACACTGCAGCAGTCACAATATGCAAGGGCAGAACCTTCCCCCTTAACTCAGACCTTGAAGGGGTTTCACCTCCCCAAAGAAGGGATCAGGTCCCCTGATGCCATTTCCAGCACTGTTACATGGAGTCAGAGACTTCAAATAGCCAAAGGAAAATCCTAGCTTGGCATTAGGAGGGCTTGGCAGGAGCACAAAGCCATCAGGCCCTGGCTGCAGTCTACCTGCTCTTTGGGAAGCTCAGTTTGGAGTTTTACTTCCCTGGCTGCCAGCAGGGAACAGCAGAATTTGCTCTGCAAACCCCAGTAACTGCCCAGCCTCATCTCCCTCCTGTGCTCATGCAGACCAGGGAGAGGGACAGGAGATGCAGTGTCAAGTCCTGGATGTGACACAAACAGCCAAGGACAAGGAGCTGATCCACACGGTGGAAATCTGATACAGGAAACTCTTCTAGCTATTCTGGAAAAAAAAAAAAAAGGAGAACAGAGCTGCCAGGAGCAGACTGCACAAGGACACCTAGGCAGGGAGTGCAGGGAGCCTGGCATGGAGCAGCCCATGCTGCCAGGCACTTCCATCACCAAGCTGGAGCACACTGCAGTTCCAGTCTCACCAGTTCTCTGATGGCACAGTGTCTGCACCACCAGACTCCAGGGCCCTTAGGCCATGGGGAAACTCCCTGAGTTCCCGCTGGACAAAAATTACTGAAAGTTTAGGGTTTACAGAGGCTTGTACAAATCCAAGCCCTCTGATTTGCAACAAAGCACTGCAGAGGCAGCACCATGTCTGAGAAGGTTTTCCTGATTTCTCCACTACAGCTGGAGCTCTGACTCAGCACCTTGACCCAAACCTGGCAGGCTCCTGGCATGCCCAAGGATCACATTGCAGCCAGGCAAGCTTCAGCCTCTTGAGGAGAAGCCAGGGAACGAGCAGAACTTTACCTGTCCCTGATGCCAAGGTATGTAAACTCCAAAAGCCCAAGGGGTGCTTCTACAGCACCTGCTTTCTGAAGTATCCTGATTAACAGGCTTTGGTGAGACCCACGGGGAAGGTTTGCCCCCAGAGAACAGCAAGTTAGGTTGGTTAGGGGCTTATTCCAGACTCCCATCCTCCACTTGTCAGCTTGCAGGAGCAGGTCTGAGTATACATCAGGAAATTACTGTTTTTGAGGTCCCTTCAGTGACTGCAGAGAAGATCCATCACAGGACTTAGCTCTACCTGTTTATTCTTGCACACTTTTCACTTAGTTTGATAATTAAGTGCCCACCCATTTACAGCTTCTGCCTGGCTTTGATGTCTTATCTTAAAGCAGACAGCACTGGCAAGCTGACAGGACCCAGAGATCCTTCCCTGGGGAATACCATCAACATCTGACAGTTTAACCCATGGTATAAACCTCAACACTTGCTCTTCTTATTGCTTAAAAGAGAATTTGAGTCCTTCAGGACATCAGACAGCTACAAAAGAGTGAAGCTTTCCTGGAGAGACAGAGACAGCCATGAGAACTTCAAACTGTTCACTGAGAAAAGCTTTTAAAGATCATCAGAGCTCCTCTCCCACCAGGATACACAACATCCATCTCCCCTTCAGCACTTCTGCTTCCTGTTCTATCTACAGCTCCTGCACCATGGAATTAAATTTGTTATCTCTCCACACAAACCCTAGCAAGTGCCTTGTTTTCCTTCACATGCAGCTTGTTAGTGTGAGTTCTGGCCTGAAGGTCCCATTCTGTGTTTCATTTTTTGAAATGATGTTCTGACCACTGAAATTCCTTCTTGCTCTGTAGCCACTGGCAAGGGGAGC